TATATATATATATATATATATATATATATATAAATCACAGACACGCATAAAACACGTATAAATAAATACACAAAATCCATATATGTATATGTATAAACACAAATATGTACACACACGCACGCACAACCACACACACACATATATGTATGTATGTATACGCATTTGAATTTTTTCTATGTATGTGCATATATATACATATACATATACATACATGCATACACACACACACACACACACACACACACACACACACACACACACACACACACACACACACACACACACATATATATATATATATATATATATATATATATATATATATATATATATATATACATATATATACATACATTATACATACATACATACATATACATATATATATATATATATATATATATATATATATATATATATATATATATATATATATATATATATATATATATATATATATATATATATATATATATATATATATATATATATATATATATATATATATATATATATATATATATATATATATATATATTATAATATATACATACATATTATATATATATATATATATATATATATATATATATATATATATATATATATATATATATATATATATATATATATATATATATATATATATATATATATATATATATATATATATATATATATATATATATATATATATATATATATATATATATATATATATATATATATATATATATATATATATATATATATATATATATATATATATATATATATATATATATATATATATATATATATATATATATATATATATATATATATATATATATATATATATATATATATATATATATATATATATATATATATATATATATATATATATATATATATATATATATATATATATATATATATATATATATATATATATATATATATATATATATATATATATATATATATATATATATACTATATACATATATATATATATATATATATATATATATATATATATATATATATATATATATATATATATATATATATGTATATATATATATATATATATATATATATATGCTATATATATATATATATATATATATATATATATATATATATATATATATATATGCACACACACACACACACACACACACACACACACACACACACACATACATATATATATATATATATATATATATATATATATATATATATATATATATATATATATATATATATATATAGTATATATATATATATATATATATATATATGTGTATATATATATATATATATATATATGTATATATATATATATATATATATATATATATATATATATATGTGTGTGTGTGTGTGTGTGTGTGTGTGTGTGTGTGTGTGTGTGTGTGTGTGTGTGTGTGTGTGTGTGTGTGTGTGTGTGTGTGTGTGTGTGTGTGTGTTATGTTATGAGAGTAAACAAACTAACAAAGTATTTCCTTCAAGTATCTACAGCGTTCTTTAAGCTCAAAGGGATAAAGGAAGAAGAAAAGTAAAACTAAACGAGCAACTCTGAATACGAAAAAATGAGGTCACTGGGAGTGCGAGAGGAAAGAGAGTGAATGGAAGTATATAAGGCGGCGCTGGACTAGACGAGCCAGCATCTTCCACCATGAAGCTCTTGGTGAGTGGTACTTCCTACTGCGTACGCTGAAATAAGAGGGATGTAGTGATAGTAGTTTCTTATTTCATAGTTGCCTGTTCTACAAACAGGCTTATATGAGCATACTGAAGCATACATACATTCAGGTATAAAGTGACAAGCACCCAAATATTAACACACACATATATATTCAGACAGAACGGGTATGTAATGCCAAAATAATGCAAAATTAAAACAGTGCCCTTACGAAATAATACCCAGGCCTTTTATTTTTACAGGTTCTCTCGGCACTCGTGGTCGCAACTTACGCGGCACCTCAGGGCTACAATTTAGCCTCGCCATCGGGAGGTGGATTCTCCCATGGTGGAGGTCACTCATCTGGAAGTGGCATTTCTAGCGGAGTTTCCGGTGGAGGATTCTCAAGTGGCGGTGGAATCTCTGGTGGAGGATTCTCCAGTGGGGTGGAATCTCTGGTGGAGGTGGCGAATCTCTGGTGGAGGATTCTCCAGTGGCGGTGGAATCTCTGGTGGAGGATTCTCCAGTGGCGGTGGAATCTCTGGTGGAGGATTCTCCTGGAAGTGGAGGATTCTCAAGTGGCGTGGAATCTCTGGCGGAGGATTCTCTGGTGGAAGCAGCGGTGGATTTGGTGGTGGATCTGGAGGTTCCGCTGGTGGGTGTCGTGATGGAGAGATCCTGCATGTGGATGGATCCTGCGTTGTTCCTGTAATCACCAGAAATGTATTTGTGTATGATGCTCCTGAACAATCTCAGCAGCCAAGCGGTCCACCACCAAGTGTCCCACCACCAAGAGTTGACCATAACGTTCTGTTCGTGCGTCTT